TCCCTCTTCATTTCCCAAATGTTCCCCCCAATTGTTTCCACAACGGCTGGAGGTGGGAACACATAGTCCAACAGCTTGGCCCGACTTTGACCCAACGTTTGGCCACACAGGTGATTTCCCAAAGACGGGACATGGCGGTGGTTCGCCGCAGGCGCCTTCGATTCTTAGTACCCTCACCACGCTACTGCTACCTACTTGCATACCACACGCAATGCTTGCACTGAGGGATTCCCGCGTGTTGTGCAAAAAACGGCTCGTCCTGGCGCACTTTCATTCCTCTGGCGTTCGCCGCCTGGAATCCTGTGGCTTCTGCAATTCGCGGTCGCCGCTTGGATTTGCATGGCCTCCACAATTAGCGGTCGCAGCGCAGATTCCTGCGGCTTCCACAAGCCTGATGGCTCCACTCTTCACAATCGCCACGTGGATACGGCGGGTTCGTGTCGTGTCGACCCCGGCGTTGACTCCTGACACCGCAGGGATCGTTCAACCTTGAACGATCGGCCGTTTCCGTAACGTCGACACGACGCGAACCTTCGGGCCGTGCCCTCGGATCCGACGCTGCCAAAAAATGCAATACCAGAGACGTGGACCCCATCTTTCTGCTCAATTGATCGAGCCAGATCGACCTGTGGGGGTCCCGGGGCCCCGAAAATGGGCGAAAAGGTACCTTGCGCAAAAAAATGCAACGTCAGGATCTCGGGGTACGTCTGCCCTGGGCGTACGTTTGGCCTGCCGTGCCAATGGCTTCCGCGATGCGCAGTCGCCGCCCGCGTTCGACTGGTGTCGGTGCCACGCGCGTGGAACCCCACACGCCCGTGGGGCGTCGCGCTCACGCAGCTCTCCCCACACGCACACGTGGAGCTCCACACGGGTGGGGTCATGTGCGCGCGGGGGTCTCCGCTTGTTGCAGGAGCGAACTGCCTGGAGCCCACGCACGCGCACCACATCATCATCGTCATCATCATCATCAACATCATCATCATTATCACCATGATAATAAGCATCATCATCATCATGATCATCATGATCATCATCAGCAGCAGCATCATCAGCATCATCATCATAATCAGCATCATGATTATCAGCAGCATCATGATGATAATCATCATCAGCAGCAGCACCATCATCGTCATCCACAACAACGGCGACAACAACAACAACAAACAGATCCTCAACACCACCATCATCACCACCACCATCATGACATGACATCGTAAGAGGAGGTCACCTCTTGCTGCGGGAACGAACTGATGAGGGCCGACGCACTCGCAACACTGACGTCGTTCTCCTCCGTGGAGGTACAGATGCATCGCCAACGCACTGTAAAGTTGCACGTGCACGACACACTATGATGGAATGTGGCCTGGAACACCCAATCCCGGACTCACAACTTGAAATGTGTCAGCACGGCTCTCCACCACCGTCGCAGCAACCTCATGGCAGGAGCCCTGGCAAAGCGAACAAGCTGATCATCGAAGGGGGGGCGTCGCAGCCAGCGGAGCGCGTGACTCCCCGATCCTGTGTGGTCTGCAGCGTGGGCGCAGGTGAGACCCAATGCTGGCAAGAAACGCCGCAGCCTTGGACGGAAATGCGGCTGTCAGGGGCGATGGGCGCGCAGAGGGGGGCAGGGCGAGGGGGGAAGACTTCTTAGAAACACCCCTGCTTCTTAGAAGGCGCGGGCCTTGTCTGTAAATGTAAGACCCTCGGCTTCTAAGAAGCAGCCTCCTTCTAAGAAGCCTTCCCCCCTCCCCCTACCCCCCTCTGCGCGCCGCCAAAATGCGGCTGTCAGGGGCGATGGGCGCGCTGGCAGCAGGAGTTTGCGGCAGTGGTGGTGAAGACCTTGGCAGTGCTCGGAGCGGAGCCGGCGCGCCCGGGGGGCCGCTCCTCCTCCTCCTCTCCTCCTCCTTCTCATCCTCCTCCTCCTCCTCCTCCCCTCCCTCCCTCCTCCTCCCCTCCCTCCCTCCCTCCCCTCTCCTCCCACCCTCTCCCTCCTCTCCTCCTCTCCTCCTCCCTCCTCCCTCCTCCCTCCTCCCTCCTCCTCCTCCCTCCTCCTCCTCCTCCTCCTCCTCCTCCTCCTCCTCCTCCTCCTCCTCCTCCTCCTCCTCTCCTCCTCCTCCTCCCTCCTCCCTCCTCCCTCCTCCCTCCTCCCTCCTCCCCTCCCTCCTCCCTCCTCCTTCCTCCCTCCCTCCTCCCTCCTCCCTCATCTCCCTCCTCCCTCCTCCCTCCTCCCTCCCCCGGCGGCGGCGGCGGCTGCGACTGAGACTACGGCGGCGGGCAGAACTGCTGCCGACAGTTGTCGTGGCAGTTGTGGCGATCGTGGCGTCAGCGCCGACCGTGACGGCGACAATGACGGCGGCTATTGTTGCGTTTCACTCCGATTGTTCAGCCGAGCAGCCACACGATATGAATCAGAGAACGTCACTCGACCAGCAAGACATGACGGATGAGGTAACGACCAAACAAACCCCACATTGATCTTGCGCGACGTGCATGCGCTTCGCTGCAAACTGCCAGAGGCAAATGCGCATAAATCACGCATGAAGAGACGCCAGCCTTACGTGGAGCCATCGTGACGAAGTGCTGGGTAGCTCTCGGACGGAAGGAAGACGAAGTCCGGAAGACAGCATTCTGATGATGATTCGAGCCCACAAAGTAGCGGTCGACTCACATGCACATGAAAAAGCTGTGGTCGCAGGCGTGAGTACGAGACCTCGTGAACCCTGCACGCAAATGTTGATGCGTCCTGCGTAAACCGCGCTGCACAGTGTACAAAGAGAGAAAAAAAGGATGCAGGCGCTTAGACACCAGCTCGTCCATGGATGTCAATGCACTTGTTGTGATCCAATCATCACCACCATCAACGTTCTGCAAGCACTGCCTGTATGCACGCGCGTCTGCTTGTATTACAACTGTGCGACTCCAAATCCCACCAGCAATCTGGGCATTGGTGGTTCAGGGCGCTCCCTCTTCCAACCCGGGGTTACCCCCTATACCCCTTCCCCTGGGTCTGGACGGGACGGGTGGCGCGAGGGCTTAGGGCGTCCAAGATGGCCCAGAAAGTGCTCCACAATGCCCTCAGATAGCCCAAGATAGTCTCCGAAATGGCACAAGATAGCCCAAACCGGCCTTCCAGCATACCTCAAAAAGGGCCCAAGACGGCCCCAAGACAGTTCCAGATGGCCACGGAGTCTCCCGAGGACGCCCCCAAGCCCCCCTTCCTCCTCCTCCTCCTCCTCCTCCTCCTCCTCCTCCTCCTCCTCCTCCTCCTCCTCCTCCCCTCCTCCCTCCTCCTCCTCCTCCTCTCCTCCTCCCTCCTCCTCCTCCTCCTCCTCCTCCCCTCCTCCTCCTCCTCCTCCTCCTCCTCCTCCTCTCCTCCATCCTCCTCCTCCTCCTCCTCCTCCTCCCTCCTCCTCCTCCTCCTCCTCCTCCTCCTCCTCCTCCTCCTCCCCCTCTCCTCCTCCTCCTCCTCCTCCTCCTCCTCCTCCTCCGCCTCCTCCTTCCCTAGCCATCCCCTGCCTCGTCCTCCTCCCCCATCCGGCACCCCAGACACTGGCACGGCGAAACAGGGGGTGGCCGAGGTCAGACCAGAGCGTCGGCAGCCCCGCCTGTGTGCGCCGACTCGCGGCCGCGCGAGAGCACAGAGTCCCAGGGGCACGCGAGACGGGGCGCTGCTGGCCCGATGGCCGCAGCGAGGCTCTCAGCCAAGTCAGTCAGGGTCCGATCGAACAGACACGTTCGGCCACCTTGATGGGCACGGACCTGCGCAGCAGGCATCTGTGCGCCACCCCCGTGGCTGGGCGGGGCCATCCTGGGCCCTGGCATGGTGCATGCTCCCTCCTGACCAGGCCGAGGCACCATCCCGACGCCTAGGACGGCCCTGGCCAGGCGCGGACGTGGTGCATAGATGCCTTCTGCAAAAGGACTGCGACGGGAGAAATGCATCCACCAGCACCATGGG